CCCCCGGGTTTTGGGGCCCCCCCCCCCCCCCCCAGATTTTTGGGGTCTCACCCGCCGGCATCTCAGCCAGGCGCCCCGAGATCTCCCGCAGCGCCTCGGCCCAGCGCGAGGTGGAGTCGGCCAGGAGGCAGCTGTGCAGCCCCATGTCCCGGAAATACTCGGCCAGCGTGATCCCTGCCACGCGTGTCACACATGTGTCACATGTGTCACACACCTGTCACACCCCCAGGGACAGCATGATCCCTGCCACGCGTGTCACACGTGTGTCACATGCGTCACACACCTGTCACACCCCCAGGGACAGCGTGGCACACATGTGTCATACACCTGTCACACACCTGTCACACCTCCAGGGACAGCGTGATCCCTGCCACGCGTGTCACACATGTGTCATACACCTGTCACACCTGTCACACACCCAGGGACAGCCCCAGCCCTCTCACACACCAGTGTCCCTGTCCCCCCGTGTCCCCCCATGTCCCCGTCACACACGCATGTCCCTGTCCCCTCATGTCCCCCGTGTCTCCCCATGTCCCCGTGTTCCTGTCACACACACGTGTCCCTGTCCCCGTGTCCCTGTCACACACACCTGTCCCTGTCCCCGTGCCCCCCCGTGTCCCCGTGTCCCTGTCACACACACCTGTCCCTGTCCCCGTGTCCCTGTCACACACACGTGTCCCTGTCCCCGTGTCCCCCCGTGTCCCCGTGTCCCCACCGGTGTAGATGGAGGCCTCGCGGGCGGCCACCGGCATGTTGGACGTGTTGGCCACCAGCGTCGTGCGCTTCATGATGGACTCGGAGCGGCCACCGACCTCCATGGTCAGCTGGGGACACCGGGTCGCATTGTCACCGCCTGTCACCTCCCTGTGTCACCCCCTGCTACTCCTGTGTCACCACGGGACAGCCCTGCCACCCCGATGTCCCACCATGTCCCCCGGGGGAAGTCGCTGAAGACCCTCCATGAACCCCCGTGTCACTGTCACTGCCCTGCCACCCCCACGTCACAGCGCCACCCGGTGTCCCAGTGCCATCCCAATGTCCCACTGTGTCCCCGTGTCCCACCGTGTCCCAGTGCCACCCCGATGTCCCGCCACGTCCCGTGTCCCCGTGTCACCTCGGGAAAACCTCTGAAGACTCCCCATGAACTCCCGTGTCACCATCACTGCCCTGCCACCCTATGTCACAGTGCCACCCCCGTGTCCCAGTGCCACCCCGATGTCCCGCCACGTCCCGTGTCCCCGTGTCACCTCGGGAAAACCTCTGAAGACTCCCCATGAACTCCCGTGTCACCATCACTGCCCTGCCACCCTATGTCACAGTGCCACCCCCGTGTCCCAGTGCCACCCCGATGTCCCGCCACGTCCCGTGTCCCCGTGTCACCTCGGGAAAACCTCTGAAGACTCCCCATGAACTCCCGTGTCACCATCACTGCCCTGCCACCCTATGTCACAGTGCCACCCCCGTGTCCCAGTGCCACCCCAATGTCCCTGTGTCCCCCGGATGTCCCGATGTCGCTGTGTCACTTCAGGAAAGTCCCTGAGGACCCTCCATGAACTTCCGTGTCACTGTCACTGCCCTGCCACCCCTGTGTCCCAGTGGCACCCCCTCTCCCTGTGCCACCCCGATGTCCCACTATGTCCCCGTGTCCCACCATGTCCCAGTGCCACCCCGATGTCCCGCCACGTCCCGTGTCCCCGTGTCACCTCGGGAAAATCCCTGAGGACTCCCCATGAACACCCGTGTCCCTACCACCGCCCTGCCAGCCCGACGACCCTGAGGTCCCCGCGTCCCGCAGTGCCACCCCGATGTCCCCGATGTGCCGGTGGCCGGTGTGGCGGTGTCACCTCGGGGAAGTCCCGCAGCACCTCGGACATTTCGTTGCCGCGCTCCCCGCAGCCCACGTAGACGATGACGTCGCTGTTGGAGTACTTGGACAGGGACTGCGAAATCACCGTCTTCCCGCAGCCGAACGCGCCCGGGATGGCCGTGGTGCCCCCCTGCACGCACCTGGCGACACGGCGACACGGCACGGCGGTGGTGGCACGGCGGCGACACCCTGCGCCTGTCCCCGTGGCCGTCCCCACGCCTGTTGCTGCGCCAGCCCCGTCCTGTCGCTGTTTGCCGCTCCCCATCACTGTCCCCAAATCCAGCTCTGCCTGTCCCCAAATCGCTCCCTGTCCCCATCCCTGTCCCCAAATCCAGCTTCCCCTGTCCCCAAATCTATGGCTCCCTGTCCCCAAATCCCGCTCTCCTGTTCCCATCCCTGTCCCCATCCCTGTCCCCAAATCCAGCTGTGCCTGTCCCCAAATCCATCTCTCCCTGTCCCCTCCCCTGTCCCCAAACCCATCTCTCCCTGTCCCAATTCCCTGTCCTGAGCTCTGTCTTTCCCTGTCCCCAGTCCCAGCCCTGTCCCTGTCCCTTTCCCCATCCCCGCCCCAGTCCCGCTCCCTGCAGGAGCAGCGCACCCCCCCAGTCCCGATCCCGGTCCCGGTCCCGGTCCCGGTCCCGATCCCGGTCCCGGTCCCAATCCCGATCCCAATCCTGATCCCGATCCTGGTCCGCTCCCTACACCCTCCCAGTCCCGATCCCAATCCCGGTCCCAATCCCGATCCCAGTCTCGCTCCCTACACCCTCCCAGTGCCGGTGCCGGTGCCTACGGGAAGAGCGCGTCCAGGACCCTCTGGCCGGTCAGCAGCGGGTGATTGGCCGGGAGCTTCTCGGCCACGGGCCGGACCTGCCGGACTGGCCACACCTGGATCATGGAGAGCGGCTCGCGGACCCCCTGGAACTCCAGCTCCAGCACCACGTCCTGCGGGATCGGCCGCCATCAGCCGGGATCGGCCCGGGATCAGCCGGGATCGGCCCGGGACCGGCCCGGGATTAGCAGGGATCAGCCCTGGATCAACCTGGGACTGGCCCGGGATCAGCCGGGATCAGACGGAGTTAGCCGGGATCAGCCCGGGACCGGCCCGGGATTAGCAGGGATCAACCGGGATCAACCAGGGATCAGACGGGATCAGCCCGAGACACCCCACCCAGCCCCCAAGAGCGCGTCCAGGACCCTCTGGCCGGTCAGCAGCGGGTGATTGGCCGGGAGCTTCTCGGCCACGGGCCGGACCTGCCGGACTGGCCACACCTGGATCATGGAGAGCGGCTCGCGGACCCCCTGGAACTCCAGCTCCAGCACCACGTCCTGCGGGATCGGCCGCCATCAGCCGGGATCGGCCCGGGATCAGCCGGGGTTAGCCGGGATCTACCCGGGACCGGCCCGGGATTAGCAGGGATCAGCCCTGGATCAACCTGGGACTGGCCCGGGATCAGCCGGGATCAGACGGAGTTTGCCGGGATCAGCCCGGGACCGGCCCGGGATTAGCAGGGATCAACCGGGATCAACCAGGGATCAGACGGGATCAGCCCGAGACACCCCACCCAGCCCCCACCCCCCCATCCCGATCCCAATCCCGCTAATCCCGGCCCCGATCCCGCTGATCCCAATGATCCCAGTACCGGACCCTCTGATCGCAATGATCCCGGTACCGATCCCGCTGATCCCAATGATCCCGGTACCGGTCCCTCTGCCCCAATCCCGCTAATCCCGTTGATGCCGATCCCGACCCCGCTGAACCCAATGATCCCGATCGCAATCCCGCCGGTGCCGGTGCCGGTGCCGCTCACCGCCGCGCCGTAGTGCCCGGGGGGCGCGATGTAGGTGACGGTGCCGCGGCTGCGGGGCGGGACCATCAGCCGGTGCTGCAGCAGCGAGTTCTCCGCCACCGAGCCGTAAATGTCCCCGCCCGTCACGTGGCTCCCGACCTGGGGACACGGCGGTGACACCGTCAGAGACCCCCGGGGGGTCATGTCCCCTGTGTCCCTCGTGTGACCCGTGTCCCCACGCCCTGCCACCTTCGTGTCCTCGTGTCCCTGCATCCTCACTGTCACTGTGTCCCCCGATGTCCCTGTAAACCCCGTGTCCCGATGTCCCCTGTGTCTCTGTGTCCCCCCATGTCCCCACGGCTCTGTGACACCCGTGTCCCTGAGTCCCCCATGTCCCTGTGTCCCCAGTATCCCCGCATCCCCCCGTTCCTGTGTCCTCTCTGTCAGTGTGTCCCCACCCCCTTTTTGGGGTCCCCCTCCTGGGCAGCGGGGACAGGGAGGGGACAGGGGAGGACAGAACGAGGGGACAATGGAGGATGATGTCCCTTGGCAGGGACAGGACGGGATTGGGGGCGACAAAAGGGGACAGAGGGGTTGAGGGGGACAGGACGGGGAGGGGACAGGGAGGGGACAGAGGGGATCGCAGGACAGGACGGGGAGGCGACAAGAAGGTGACAGAGAGCCTGGGAAGCCAGATGGGGAAGGGGGGACAGGACAGGGATGGGACAAAGGGACAGGACGGGGGTACAGGAGGTGACAGAGAGGGGCCACGCACCCGGAGGTTCTTGCTGGGGACAAAGTCCCAGTCCAGGTGTCGCGGCAGCGCGGGGACATTGGTGCCCCGCGGGATGTAGATGCTGCGCGTGGCCTCGGCGATGTCGCGCAGCGGCCGCTGGATCCCGTCGAAGATGGAGCCCAGGATGCCCGGGCCCAGCTCCACCGAGAGCGGCGTCCCCGTGCGCCGCACCGGGTCCCCAACCTGCACCCCCGCTGCGGCCGCTCAGGAATGTCACCGCCGGAGGGACACGGAGGGGACAGCGGGGAAACGGGGACCAGGGGAATGCAGGGATGATGGGGAGACGGGGACAGCGGGGACTGCAGGGACAGCGGGGACACGGGGACAGCGGGGACTGCAGGGACGATAGGGACACGGGGACTGCGGGGACACGAGGACTGCGAGGACCGGGGGGACAGCGGGGACACGGGGACTGCAGGGACGATGGGGACACGGGGACAGGACAGAACGGGGGGACAGGGAGGGGACAGAGCAAGCTGGGACAGGACAGAGGCTGAGGGGAAGAAGGGAGGGGACAGCAAAGGACGGCGGGGACAGGGCGGGGGGGTCGGAGGGACAGCGGGGTGGCGGGGAGGGGACAGCGGGGACAGGATACAGGTCTCCTCGTACACCTGGAGCGTGGCCATGTCCCCCTCGAGCCGGATGATCTCCCCCACGAGCTCCGCGTGTCCCACCCGCACCAGCTCGTACATGGCCGCCCCCGCCATGCGCGTGGCTGTCACCACTGCGGGGACACGCTGCTGTCACCCCGACCCCGGGCCACCACCGCACAGGGGACCCCCGTGTCCCCCACCCCAGTCCTGGAGTCCCCATACCTGTCCCCTCCCCACGACCACCCCCGGGTACTTTCCCACGCTGTCCCCTCCGCGGGTGTCCCCTCCCCATTGTCCCCATTTTAGTGCCACAAACGCCATCGCGATCCCACGATGTCCCCTCCTGCTCCCAACCCTGTCCTTTCCCCATTGTCCCCTCCCCAGGTGGTCCCCCCCATTGTCCCCTCTCCATTCCCCCCCCCATTGTCCCCTCTCCTGTCCCCATTTTAGCGTCACAAACGCCACCGGGTCCCCATCCCCGGTTGTCCCCGTCCCCAGGGTGTCCCAGGATGTCCCCACGATGTCCCCTCCTGTTCCCAACCCGGTCCCCTCCTCATTGTCCCCTCCCCAGGTGGTCACCCCCCATCGTCCCCTCTTAATTCCCCCCACCTTGTCCCCTCTCCTGTCCCCATTTTAGCGCCACAAACGCCACCGGGTCCCCATCCCCGGCTGTCCCCAGGCTGTCCCCAGGTGTCCCCAGTGTCCCCGTACCGGGTCCGGACACGCCATGCACGGCCCCCAGCAGGCTCTCGCGCTCCTCCAGCCGTGTCCCCCGTGTCCCCTCCATGCTGTCCCCTCCCCGCCGCGCTGCCACCGCCGTTAAATGGCCCCGGGCGCCGGCGACAACCGGACAGGGCCACCGCAGGTGTGGCACCGCGCGCAGGCAGCCAACGGCAGTGTCCCCACCCCCGGCGACACCGCGGGGACAGCGGGGTGACACCGGCTGGCTCCGGTGACAGGGCCACCGCGGGTGTGGCACTGTGTGCAGTCAACAGCTGCTCCGGGTGACACCGGGTGACACCGGCACGGCCCGGCTCGGTGTCACCCACGGTGTGGGTGTCCTTGTCACCATCCTGCCGTGTCCTTGTCACCACTTTCTCTCTGTCACCCCCTTTCTTTTGTCACCCCCTATGGCCGTGTCACCTTCTTCCTTTTGTCACCCTCGTGGCCTTGTCACCTCCCTGCTGTGTCCTTGTCACCCTCTTCTGTCACCCCCCTTCTCCTTGTCCCCACGACATCCCTGCCACCCCCTTCTCTTTGTCACCCCCATGTCCTTGTCACCCCCTTCTCTTTGTCACGCCCTTCTCTTTGTCACCCTCCATGTCCTTGTCACCCCCTCGTCCCTGTCACCCCCGTCCACCCCCTTCTCTTTGTCACCCCCATGTCCTTGTCACCCCCTTCTCTTTGTCACGCCCTTCTCTTTGTCACCCTCCATGTCCTTGTCACCCCCTCGTCCCTGTCACCCCCGTCCCTTTGTCACCTCCTTGTGTCCTCTGCCCCCCACCTTGAGGTGTCACCAGCACAATTTTGGGGTCCCCCCTGGCACCCCCCTAATTTTAGGTTCCCACCTCCATTTTTGGGGTCCCTTTTTCTCCGATTTTGGGGTCTCCTCTCCTCATTTTTGGGGTCCCACCCTCATTTTTGTGGTCCCTTTTCCCCCCATTTTTGGGGTCCATTTTTTCCCCACTTTATGGTCTCACCCCCCCATTTTTAGGGTCCCCCTTGGCACCCCCACATTTGGGGTTCTCCCCATTTCCCCCCTCCCCTCACCCCAAACCCTTTTCCCACAAAAACCAACCCTGGGATTGTCCCAAACTCCCGTTTATTACCCAAACCCCCCCAAAACGACCCCAAATCCCTCTGGGAATTTTTTTTTTTTTTGGGGGGGTGGGGGTCAGGACACCAAGACCCCCCCGGGGCCCCCCTTGCCCCCCTCGGGGCCGTCCCTGGGGGTGGATTTGGGGTCGTCCTCCCCCACCAGGCGGATGTTGTGGCGTTCCCGGAATTCCGAGAGCTCCCGGCCCTTGGCCTGCAGCTGCTGCGCCAGAGCCTCGATCAGCTTGGAGATCTGGGGGGAAAAAGGGGGAAAATGGGAAAAATGGGAATTGGGGGATTGGGGGAAAAGAGAGAGACTCAGTTAGAGTGGAGATTTGGGGGGAAAAATGGGGAAAATGGGAATTGAGGGAAATAGGGAAAAACGGGGAAAAGAGAGAGACTTGGAGGGGGGAAAACTGGGAAAATGGGAAAAATGGGAATTGGGGGAAAAGAGAGAGACTCAATCAGCCTGGAGATCTGGGGGAAAAAAACAGGGAAATGGCAAAAATGGGAATTGGGGGATTGGGGGAAAAGAGAGAGACTTGCTTAGAGTGGAGATCTGGGGGGAAAATGGGGAAAATGGGAATTGGGGGAAAAGAGAGAGACTCAATCAGCCTGGAGATCTGGGGGAAAAAAACAGGGAAAATGGGAAAAATGGGAATTGGGGGATTGGGGGAAAAGAGAGAGACTTGGTTAGAGTGGAGATCTGGGGGGGAAAAGGGGGAAAATGGGAATTGGGTGAAAAGAGAGAGACTCGGTTAGAGTGGAGATCTGGGGGGGAAAAGGGGGAAAATGGGGAAAATGGGAATTGGGGGAAAAGAGAGAGACTCAATCAGCCTGGAGATCTGGAGGAAAAAAACAGGGAAAATGGGAAAAATGGGAATTGGGGGATTGGGGGAAAAGAGAGAGACTCGGTTAGAGTGGAGATCTGGGTGGGGAAACGGGAATTATGGAGATCTGGGGGGAAAAAGGGGGAAAATGGGAAAAATGGGAATTGGAGACTCAATCAGCCAGGAGATTTGGGGGGAAAAACAGGGAAAATGGGAATTGGGGGAAAAGAGAGAGACTTGGTTAGAGTGGAGATCTGGGGGGAAAAACAGAGAAAATGGGAAAAATGGGAAATGGGGGAAAAGAGAGAGACTCAATCAGCCAGGAGATTTGGGGGGAAAAACAGGGAAAATGGGAATTGGGGGAAAAGAGAGAGACTTGGTAAGAGTGGAGATCTGGGGGGAAAAATAGGGAAAATGGGAAAAATGGGGGAAAAGAAAGAGACCCTAGATCAGCTTGGAAATCTGAGGGAAAACCAGGGAAAATGGGAAAAAGAGGAAATAGGGGAAATAGGGGAAATAGGGGAAGAGAGACTTGGTTAGCCTGGAGATCTGGGGGGAAAATGGGGGTAAAGGGGGAGAAAAAGAGGAAAAATGGGGAAAAAAGAGAGAAAAAAAAAGAGTGAAAAGATCCAGAGGTTTTTTTTGGGGGGGGTTGGTTCCAGGAGATTTTTTTGGTTCCCCATTGGATGTTCATGGGATCCTACTGGATTTTTGGGATATCCCATTGGATTTTGGGATATCCTGTTGAGTTTTTATGGGATCTCATTGGATTTGGGGCTATCCCGGCAGATTTCAGAATGCTCTATAGAATGTTTATGGGATTCCATTGGGTTTGGGGCCATCCCTTTGGGGTTTTATGGGATCCCAGTGGGTTTTTAAGAAATCCCAGAGGGTTTAGGGCTATCCCATTGGGTTTTTATGGGATCCCACTGGATTTTTATGGGATCCCAGTGGGTTTAGGGCTATCCATTGGTTTTTTTATGGGATCCCAGTGGGTTTTTATGGGATTCCATTGGTTTTTTTATGGGATCCCAGTGGGTTTTTATGGGATTCCATTGGTTTTTTTATGGGATCCCAGTGGGTTTTTAAGGAGTCCCAGTGGATTTAGGGCCATCCCATTGGGTTTTTATGGGATCCCATTGGGTTTATGGCTATCCCATTGGGTTTTTATGGGATCCCAGTGTGGTTTTGGGGTCCCCATTGGGTTTTTATGGGATCCCAGTGTGGTTTTGGGGTCCCCAATGGGTTTTTTGGGATCCCAGTGTGGTTTTGGGGTCCCCAATGGGTTATCCCAGTGTGGTTTTGGGCTCCCCATTGGGTTTTTATGGATCCCAGTGTGGTTTTGGGCTCCCCATTGGGTTTTTATGGATCCCAGTGTGGTTTTGGGCTCCCCATTGGGTTTTTATGGATCCCAGTGTGGTTTTGGGCTCCCCATTGGGTTTTTATGGATCCCAGTGTGGTTTTGGGCTCCCCATTGGGTTTTTATGGATCCCAGTGTGGTTTTGGGCTCCCCATTGGGTTTTTACGGGATCCCAGTGTGGTTTTGTGGTCCACAATGGGTTTTTATGGGATCCCAGTGGGTTTTTAAGGAGTCCCAGTGGATTTAGGGCCATCCCATTGGGTTTTTATGGGATCCCATTGGGTTTTTATGGGATCCCAGTGGATTTAGAGCTATCCCACTGGGTTTTTACGGGATCCCAGTGTGGTTTTGGGCTCCCCATTGGGTTTTTATGGGATCCCAGTGTGGTTTTGGGGTCCCCAATGGGTTTTTATGGGATCCCAGTGGGATTTTGGGGTCCCCAGTGGGTTTTTATGGAATCCCAGTGGGTTTTTAAGGAGTCCCAGTGGATTTAGGGCCATCCCATTGGGTTTTTATGGGATCCCATTGGGTTTTTATGGGATCCCAGTGGATTTAGGGCCATCCCATTGGGTTTTTATGGAATCCCAGTATGGTTTTGGGGTCCCCAATGGGTTTTTATGGGATTCCATTGGGTTTTTATGGGATCCCACTGGGTTTTTACAGGATCCCAGTGTGGTTTTGGGCTCCCCATTGGGTTTTTATGGATCCCAGTGTGGTTTTGGGCTCCCCATTGGGTTTTTATGGATCCCAGTGTGGTTTTGGGCTCCCCATTGGGTTTTTATGGATCCCAGTGTGGTTTTGGGCTCCCCATTGGGTTTTTATGGATCCCAGTGTGGTTTTGGGCTCCCCATTGGGTTTTTATGGATCCCAGTGTGGTTTTGGGCTCCCCATTGGGTTTTTATGGATCCCAGTGTGGTTTTGGGCTCCCCATTGGGTTTTTATGGATCCCAGTGTGGTTTTGGGCTCCCCATTGGGTTTTTATGGATCCCAGTGTGGTTTTGGGCTCCCCATTGGGTTTTTATGGATCCCAGTGTGGTTTTGGGCTCCCCATTGGGGGGTCCCCAATGGTTTTTATGGGATCCCAGTGTGGTTTTGGGGTCCCCAACGGTTTTTATGGGATCCCAGTGTGGTTTTGGGGTCCCCAATGGGTTTTTATGGGATCCCAGTGAGTTTTTATGAGATTCCATTGGTTTTTTATGGGATCCCCAACGGGTTTTTAAGGAGTCCCAGTAGGTTTAAGGCTGTCCCATTGGGTTTCTATGGGATTCCATTGGGTTTTTATGGGATCCCATTGGGCTTTTATGGGATCCCAGTGGATTTAGAGCTATCCCATTGGGTTTTTAGGGGATCCCAGTGTGGTTTTGGGGTCCCCAATGGTTTTTAGGGGATCCCAGTGTGGTTTTGGGGTCCCAGACCTGCTCCCTGTTGCTCTCCAGGGCGGGCAGCACCTCCTTGACCGTCCTCTCCACCAGCACGCCCCCGACCATGCGGAAACACTTCCGGGTGGGATCCACCTCCCGCAGCGTGTCGATCACCAGCCTGGGCCAGGGGTCAGCACCCCAAAACACCCCAGATAAACCCCAGATCCCTGTCCCAAATATACCCCAAATCCCCGGCCCAAATCCACCCCAAATAAACCCCAAATCCCTGGCCCAAATCCACCCCAAATCCCTGGTCCAAATCCCCAAACCTCACCCCAAACTCCCAATCCCCAATCTCAACCCTAAACACCCCCATCCCCCAAATCCCAACCCCAAACCCCCCAATCCTGACTCTAAACCCCCCAGACCCCTCAATCCTGACCCCAAACCCCCCAATCCCGACCCACCTTCCCCTCAGGCCCAGGCCCCCCCCTCCATTTCCCTATCCCGTTATCAGAGACCCCTCCCCATTATCAGAGACTCTTCCCCCACTATCAAGGACCCCTCCCCCGTTATCAGGGACCCCTCCGTCCCTCCCCATCCCCTCAGTCTCACAGACCCCCCCTCATCCCCACCCTCCCCTCACGCCCAGGCCCATCCCCCTCCCCTTTGC